GATCGAGGCGGCGCCGCTTCCTCGGGTCAGCGCCCCACGACGCCCAGAGCGCCTTCGCGGGTCCGCGACCGCTTCGCCACCCCCGCCGCGCGAGTTCGGAAACAGCGTCGCCGCCGGCCCGCACCTGTGTGCCCCGCCGAGGCCAAGGGGACGCCGCCCGCCCGCACGGACGGCCGCCGGGATGCTGGACGGCCTGAACGCCGCTCCAGCCTCGGCTGTGCAGTGAAGTCAGTTGTTCAGACAGCCAAGGGCGTGTCCTTGCCGAAAGCAAATGCCTTTCTCCCCGTCCCTGCTGAATACAGATGGGACCTACACACACTTTTTCTTCCCTTAATTTGCTTGAGGGCGCGTTTGCTGGCCAGAGACAGATGAGGGAGAAAGAACCTCTCTTGCCTGAACGCCGCTCCAGCCTCGGCTGTGCAGTGAAGTCAGTTGTTCAGACAGCCAAGGGCGTGTCCTTGCCGAAAGCAAATGCCTTTCTCCCCGTCCCTGCTGAATACAGATGGGACCTACACACACTTTTTCTTCCCTTAATTTGCTTGAGGGCGCGTTTGCTGGCCAGAGACAGATGAGGGAGAAAGAACCTCTCTTAGGGCCAGGTCCACCTCAATCCCTTCATTTCTCCATCCTGTCAGAGATTTGAACCGCTAAGCTCCTGGGGTGTTTTTCAAGCAGCCAGATTGAAATTCTAACCACACAGTTGACCTTCTAGTTTCCTTAATTACCAGATTGCGCCACCTGGGAAAATTTTTGGTTTTGTTTTTGCTATAGGTGATTTCTCTTTCTCTTTGTCTCTGTCTCTCTGGGGCAGCGCTCCGGGGGCTCATCCCCGCGCCCCTCGCGGGACCGAGGCGGTGACGCTTCCTCAGGTCAGCGCCCCACGACGCCTTCGCCACCCCCGCGGTGTGAGTTCGGAAACAGCGCCGCGGCTGGTCCGCACCTGTGTGCCCCGATTGCCAGAGACAGAGAGAAAGAGAAATCACCCCCAACAAATATTTTTAAAGACCCTTCAGAGCAAAGGGACATTA